AAAAAAAAAAAAAAAAAAAAAAAAAAAAAAAAAAAAGAAAGAAAAAACTCGTCATTGAATCCAATTTTAAAAAAATTATCGTGTTTTAAATTATGTGCCGATATTTTTTTAACCGATTGTGTATAATATTTGTACACTGGTTAAAGTCCTTTGTGTAGTTTGGCGCAACTAGTTTATTACGTAAGCGCGATAATCTCAAAGTTCTCTTCTAACTGATTACAAGATGCCACTTAGGCATGTTTGTCTCTTTGATTATACGTTGTATCGAGATTATATTCGATTATATTGTTATTGTTACAATTATCGAATATATTTCGTAGAATCTTGGTGACTAAAAAAAAAAAAAAAAAAAAAGGAAAACGTATTCATGTATTTATAAATATTCGTAGCTTTAATTTATACACAATTTATTTTATAAATAAAGAAATAATAAATTGAGCAAAAAATATCTATTAATTATTTCGAACGGGATACGCTTCATCGATTTCAATGGTCTTGAAATATGTTTTCAAGGTCAGTCCTTGACGATCCATGATCGTGAATAATTTCGTTTATATATGCATTTAATTTTCATTCGATTTTAATTTTCACGATGTATCATCTAAAATTATTCATTCCGCTGTATATTAAATATAGTCTTGTTTATTGTGAGAATATATATGCGTGAGATTTTTAGAATATATTTTGGCAATACCCTTTAATTCGATCAATAGCAAATCGTTATGAAATAATAATAAAATGAAATCCTTCTCTAAAAATCATTCGATGAATTTGTTATCAATTGAAGATAGAAGATGAAAAATATGGAGTAGAGTTTGTTACTCTAAAATTATTTATCCAAAATTTACGTCCTCTTAGAAATACACGATGCGTTAGAAATAAAATTTTTATACACGCACGCGTATGAAATTTATTGGAAAATTTGAAAAGTGGACAGTGCGGGAAAAAACGAACAGAAGGAAAACGAGGAATTCGATACGATATAAATATGTTGGATAAACGAGTGATCGAAGACTCGGATAAAATGGATTGATCGGCGGAACGTGATTGATAGAAGATCTAATAGTAGGAATAATTCGTGACAAGTTATTGGAATAGCGAATAGTTATTCTATAACTGCAACGATCCTCGTGGTAATGGTAATGGCGCGATGGAAGCGAACAGTGGTAGTGGTGGGCCGGTAGTATTGGTGAGAGATAGAGAGGTGTGGAAGGTTTGGGAAGGGGTAACGGTCGATTCAGTGCGAGGCGGGCGGTCAGAGCCGATGCAGTGGAAGGATACGACGACGATGATCGTACGGCACGAGTTGCTCGCATTGTTTCATTCGTCAAAAAGTCGGAAAGGAAAATTAGAGCGATTCGAGAGGATTCGAAACATGAGGAAGAAGGGATTTGGTCGAAAGAGCTGTTATCGCTGCTATTGTCGTTGTTCCGATAATCGTTCTTGTCATCGGATCACGTTTCGTTCGAGCACAAAGAGACAGACAAGTCCGGAAGTTTTCTTGGAAAGTGTCGTGGCAAAAATATCATCTATCGGTTACGATTACCATGTTGTCGTTGCCGTCGACAATTGCTAAAGATAAGAATAACAATTTCGAAACAACGTTGAATATAATTACGTTGCGATAAATCGTTCAAATCGATTGGTTATCTTTGAATTTCGGTTCGGAAAAAACTCGAGAATTTATTAATTATAAATAAAAAGTCCGACGTACGAGTAATCGATTCGGTGTGTTGATCGAACGGTACACGCGAACGGGCAATTTAGAAGATCGTTGCAACTCGATGTTCCGATTTGTTGCACGTTAGTCGTATTTAACCGTTGCTGTTATTACATTATTCGGTAAGATATTTCGAGTGTTTATCGCGTATCGTTATCGCGATGAATCAGCGAATCGTTAAATAATCTTTGCGATATAACTTTTTTTTTTTTTTCTTAAAAATTTTAAGGAAAAAATTCGTCGTTGAATACGAATAATTTAAAATCGTGATAATTAAATTGATCGAATTAATCGAAACAAGCGGGACAAAAATGTTGCAACAATAGTATCGAAAGGATGCAAAAAAAAAAATGCGTAAAGAGAGATTTCACGAAATCGATCATTTTTTTTTTTTTTTTTTTTTTTTTTTTTAATATAGCTCGATCATCGACTCGATTCGAGGAAATAATAACTGGAAGAGAATAATGATAATTCGGGTACGAGTACATACGATCCCCATCGCGTTTACGAACGAAAAGTCGTTACGAGGTAAACGACGAGGATCGGTCCGAGCGATGGCGGGGAAAAAAAGTTGTTTGTTGGAACGAGAAACGATAATAAGCGACCAAGTTTTCGAGTGTCGTAAACTGGCGAACGAAAGAGCGAACAAAGGGACGGGACGCGAATGGAAAATTTACGATGCGATCGTGCTTTGTCTTCGACTTACCAAATATTCGGCTACTCTTCTCTGCGCGTGGTATGTACGTGGAATATACTTGTGTAATTTCTCTCTCTCTTTTTTTTTTTTTTTTTTTTTTTTGCTCTCGATCCTCATCATCGTGGCTTCCACGATTACGAAACATTGACGATCTCGAATTGGCGAGATCGAAGCGTATTGTACATAGATAGATTGTATTCTCGAAATTTGTCGATTTGTTTCGCCTCGCTGCGTTTCTCTCCGTCTTCGTTCTCCGTCTCCTCTTCCTCCATCCATCCTCGTTCTTTCTCTAGTGCGGGAAAGTTGCCGTCGCTTGCGAAGATTCAGCATCGAGACTCTACGACGAAACACGCGTTGATTCGAAAACGAATCGATCTCGAGATCTTGGAGCTGGAAATTTTTTCACGATCGCGAGACGGGCCGATTTTATATCTCGGGGAGGGTTGAATCGAGCCATGAAAACGAACGAGCCTTGGTCGATTGATCTCGTGCGGTTGATCGTCTCCAACGTTGTTATGGCCGACGGAGAGGGCAAGAGCGAGCGAGAGAGAGAGAGATATATAGAGGATGGTGACGATTGGATCTCCGCCAAATGCCGTTGGTAAAATTAATCGTTCTCTCCGACATGAATTCCTCTCCAAGCGGGGAATATCAATTTGCGGGGATCAAAAGGAGACAACGTTGACAACAACTGGTCGTCGCGAAAGGTTAGAAAGACGATAATCGGTCGAAACACGATCGACCACCGACGAGCGCTTTCACGCCGTATCGTATCGAGTTTACTTAAGACGGTTAGAGGTTTTCGTGCGTTTTCGTAACGTCCCTTTCCTCCTCCTCCTCCTCCCTTCCCTTTTCTTCATGGAAAAACTTTTCTTATCTCGTTATCGCCGAATTTTCCGTTATTATTATTATTATTATTATTATTATTATTATTATTATTATTATTATTATTATTTTATTATTATTATTATTATTATTATTATTATTATTATTATTATTATTATTATCATTATCACACACACACATCCGTGGATATGGGGTTTTAATAAACGTTGGAGTAATCGTCATCGAAGATTTTTCAAAAACACTGTTCGTACGAAAAATACGAATCCGTGGGAGAGGAAAAAAATAAAAAAATAAATAAATAGATGCGTAAAGATAAAAATATAGACGCATCGAGAGGGAGAGAATCGTGAAAGAAACGATCGTCGTGTATGGTGGCAGCAGTAATACGCTTCAAAGAATCGTATTTCTTCTTTTTTTACAGATCGAAATTTTGGCAAACGATGGAAGTACGAACACCGTTTTAGCGGCGAGTTGGAAAGAGAAATCACGTTCGAGATTCACGTTCCGTAAAAGGATCAAAGGAAGGAGAGCCTAATCGAGAGCGAAATCTGTTTTTGCGAGGAAAACAACGTGGAAATATATAAGAGAAGAGCGATCGTTTAACGCGAAATGCGAGATAAAGGGACGTAAGAGCGCCGGTCGACGACGACGACGACAACGACGAGCAACGGACAAGAAGAGACGATACGTCGGAT